AACTGGCCACTTTGATGTAGCGTAAAGCCTTGTGTAATAAACACACTTTATTTTCCTCTTCAATAAATCCCTCTGGTTGGGTCATATATATTTTTCATTTAGGTTTGCATATAAATATGCATTCTTTACATCTAACTGACAATTAGTCCATCCATATATAAACATACCAGTATAGTGAAAAATATTCTTATGATTGAAAAATTTACTACAGGACTGTAAACGTCATGAAAATCTTCACCTCTTTTCTGCCTGAATCCCTGTGCTACTAAACATGCTTTGTATCTAACCTCTTGATTCTTTTCATTTCTTTTTAGCATATAGACCCATTTGTTTCCTAGCATAGTTTTATTTTCTGGCTTTTCGACTAATTCTCAAACCTTTCTTTTCTTCATTGTGTCAATTTCTTCTTTCATTGCCTTATCCCATTCTTCGGCATTTACTGATTTTCGTGCTTCTTTAAAATTTTGTGATATAACAATTTCTACGGAATTTGCCTCTTCAGACACGGAGCTAGTCTCCTTTTCTACAAAAAAACTTTCCTTAATTCTTTTTTCCCGAGTATTCGTTTTTCCACTAAAATCAAACTTATCTTTTTCAAATTTAATATTTCTTGCCTCACAATACATTTCAATATCATTATAGGATCTAAAACGGGTGTCTGTTCCCTCTACATAATAATATATGTCTGTACATCTTCCGTCTGGCCTTTTAACTGCTTTTCTTTGCCAGTTTTAAGTCTGATTCTTCTTTCGGGGTAAATTTGTCATCTGACAACTTTATTTCTTCTCTAGAAGTTTCCTGTTCTTCATCTGATTTGCTAATAGCTCAGATTCCTCTAGTCTTTTAAACTTAGTTTTTGATTTCTGTTCCAGGATGCCATTTGCCTGGAACAGAAATCAAAGTTTCATTTTTTTTTTTTTCAACGAACTTCACATTACAGGTTTCTATTAATCTGCGTTCTTCTGGTAGCCATATCCTATAACCCCTAGTTTCCTTCACATATCCTACCATGATTTCTTCTTTGCACCTCATTTGTAATTTATTTCTAATCTGTTTTGGCATGCCAACATACTTTACAACCAAATATTTAAAATAAACAACATTGGGTTTTCTATTTAGAAACATTTCATAAGGGGTTCGGTTGCTTTTATGACATACTCTGTTCCATGTATGTACGAAACAGCCAAGAGCTTCTGCCCACCATTCTTTTCCCATTTTACCATCATTAAGCATAGCTTTAACTGCGGTCTAATGCCGTTCGGTTAAAATGTTCACACACACTGTTCTCTTCTGGGCTGTACGCGTTTGTGCGTTCAACACTAATTCCATTTTCGGCTAAGTACCCTTCGAATTGCCTGTTGCAGAATTCCTCACCATTATCGGTGCGTATACTTATTAATTTCCTATTCGTCAAGTCTTTCCATTTGCCTATGATAATTCTTAAAGTTGTAGAATGATTAATTTTTTTTTTTCATACAATACACTGTTACTAATCTACTATAGTCATCCACAATAGTGAGGAAATATTTACTCCCACCGTTAGATGGAACTGGGAGTGGACCACAAACGTCTAAATAAACCGACTGCAATGGTTTATTGATCTCTTCGGAACAGTTTTAAAAAGTTATTCTACTAGATTTAGCAATAATACACGGTTCACACCTCTCCATTGGTTTTTCAATTTCTGGTAACCCTTTCACGCTTTGATTCTTACTAGTATTCTTAACATAATCAAAATTTATGTGGCTAAATCTCCGAATGCCATAGCATCGCATCGTCTACTTTATTTAACTTTCCAATTTCTGTACCGTAACCAGCTTCCTTTTTATCTGTTGTGCATATCTAAATGGTTTTACGTGATAAAGTCCGTCATATCGTTTAGCGTAGCATAATCTATCCCAATTATTAAAGTATATCCACATCTTCCCTTTTGAAATCACAAAATGAAGCACCTGCCTTTTCTAACCTTGCTCCCGATAGTAAATTTCTTCCTTAGATTTGGATTATATAACACATTATCTAACTCAATCCAATTTATTCGATTGCCTACTTTTACTGCAAATTTGACGGTACCCTTTCCTTGTACTTTACTTTCAGAATTTCCTACAGCTAAAGACATACGTATATCAATCTATTTCTTCAAAATTTATCATTAAATTTCTATTATTACAGAAATGAGTTGTGTAGCTGCAGTATCTACGACCCAATTAAATTTACCTGCGTTACCTCCTTTATCTGTAGTTGTTACATAATTTTCTACTAACATTAATTCTTTATCTTTAAACTGTCCATTATTATCGTCTATTTTAAATTTCTGATTTTTACTTACATTTTCTTTCACATTGAGCGATTAAGTGTCCAAATTTATGACATCTGAAAACAAGGTCCTATTCTCATATTCCCCATTTTTTTCTTAGATTTAGTTTTCCCCATTTTCAACTGCTATCTTTCCCTGCATTTGAACTAATAGTATTAAACACGCTTACCTTGCTGTCTTCTAAATCGGCATTTACCAGGCGAAGTCGGCTTTCTTCCCTTACCAAATCTTCAGCAATTTTTTCCAGCGTAAAATGTTGGTTCTTCCACTTATAGATCAACTGGACAATGCCATAGTTTTCCTGGGGTAATCTCCTTATTGCCTGAAATCCTTTAAAAAGATCTGCCAAGTTGTGTCCAGCTTCAGCCAACTTCTTTGCAGTCATTCTTATCCTTGCGATGAATAACACTAATGCTAATCTTGCTCTTGTTTTGAGTTCGAATTGCTTCTGTAGAACTTCCCATGCTTCTTTACCACTTGAGCATTCTTGTATCAGCAGCCTGAACTCAGTTTTAATTCCATAATATAATGTAGTGAAGGCTTTATTCTCTCTCAATGTGAATTCCTGCTTTTCACGTCTTGTTGCACTTTTATCTAATTCTTCTTCTGTTCTCTATGAAGCTCCAACAATTTCTATCCAGTACCAGCATTTTCATATCGACTTTCCATCGATCCCAGTTGTCATGGTTTAACAGCTCAAAACTTCAGGTAGTAATGACATCTTCAATTAAGTGTGAGCACAACGACTTGAACAAACTTCTAAGACAGGTCAGCTTCTTTTCGTGGAGAATGGCCCTCTTCACCTACGTTCCTTCAATGCTGAGTTGAACTAGGTAACAGGCTAGCTGTTGGCACTGGGCCCATAACCCTATTGGTTGTGGGGATATTTGCAAAGCATATTTTGCTTCCCTTAAATAAAGCTAAGACTAATCTAAATAAAATTCATGCTTTATTCTGTAAATTAAAATAAAATAAGCTAACACTGTAGCCTTTACATTTAAAACCATTTGAGGGAAAGAAAACTAGCATAATACTAACTCGGAACACACACATTCGCTGATACCGGCGTACATATACACATACTCGGCCAACCTGCCGATCTTGACGTCATCGGCCAATCAGCGGCAACCACGTTAGCTTACATCCGATTGACCTCTGATCAAAGTTTGCATAAGGAAAACGAAAGTCAACAGGAATGAGGTGCCTTTTTCCCTGCTCCAGCATAATGGAAGGGAGCGGAAAATTGGTTGCCATATATTAAGAATTTGCCAAGTGAATTATTCTTGGTCAAACTGAAAAAATTTCGCCAAGATAAATTTTTGAATTTCTCCATAAATTTCGTACCAAATTTGACAAAGTTCCTGGGCATAATTTGAGTCGTAGAATTGAAAGATGGAAAAAAAAAAAAAAAAAGGTATGTTATTTCGAAAAAGTCTGATTTTATGTCGAAATCCCTATGTTAGAACAATGCTATGTATAAATTTAATATATATTCTAAGTCATGCTTTTGAGACAAAAACGCAAACTGAATTTTGTTAATCGGCCCAGTAGAACGGGAGATGTAGAGCTGTCCCCCCGTTTTTTTTTGCGCAGTGTACTTCAGTCACATAAAGTATTTTAATTAAAATTGTCTGTAACTACAAAACAAATACGATTATGCATTTAATATAATTAAAATACAGTATTCCTGCCCTTTTTTTGAAGTAATTTTATCCTGTGAAAATTGAAATTAGAAAAGTATATGAATAATTTTAATTTCCATAGGACATGGTTACAGTAAGAATGTAACAAATGAAAAGTATTCATGTGGTAGCTATCACAATATTATTTATTTAAAAGAAACCTACATTCTCATAAGAGTACATAGCAATAGTAACATTACAATACCTAACAAGATAATTTAATTTCTGTTTCCCCTGTATCTTGAAACTCATCTGCTGTTACTGTTGTCCTCAAGTCCCAGATCCATGTCCCTAGGTCCGCCCTAGCCTTAGGTCCGCCCTAGGTCTAGCCCTAGGTCCAGGGCTGGTGCTAGAGTTTTTGTCTCTGGTGCAAATTATGCAACTCCAAAATTCTGCCACCAGATTCCTTACTGAAGTCTAAAAATTTTGTTGTCTCTAAATTAATCGGCAGCTGTTGAACATGCTCTAATGCTGGCTCTGCCTGTGCCAGAAGTCAAAAGTGCTACTGAAGCTGTCATCTGTTACTACTTGCAAGCTACCACCATTGTCATTATATTCATCATAATTCAGTTTGTCTTACCTCATGCAGTAATTTTCAGAACTATCAAGAGCGTTAAATATCTCTGTTTTCCGAAGATTTTTATCACAAAAACTATAATTGCTTAATTAATCAGAGTGCCATGAACTCAAAATACTTTAGCAAATCAGTTAGATGAATACAACTACTATGTAGACAAAAGCATTTTTAGCATTAAGGGAAGCTCTTTTTCTTAATGCCTTGAAGAAGGAGAAATTTATGTGAATATTTAAAAAAATTTCAAAACCTTCAGATAAACTAAAGGGAAAATATGCATGTAAATACAGGATGCTTAAAAATGATAAAATGTGCTTTTTGTGATAAAAAATTTTACATTGTATGATTTCAATTTGATAACTTTATTTTAACTTATTATTTTTCATGTATATATACATATTTTATGTTTTTAAAATATGTTTTTCAGTTATGGCTAAAGCAACATCTGTACAGTGTCCATCAGAGATCTGCTTTAATCCACTTTCCAATGATTTGAATGCATCTGCTATAAAAACATTATTACAGATTATCAAGACATGCATTGGACCAAGAGGAAAGCTGAAAATTATTCAAAATATATCTGGTGGACATGTTTCTGTCACTTCTTCATCTCAAAGAATTTTTCATAATGTATCTGTAAAAAACTATTTATTAAAATTCATTATAGCTTCTGCTCAGTCTCATTTGAAATTTTTTGGAGATGGAGGTTTATCTTGTGCACTTTTAATATTGAGATTAATTGAAAATTCTTTGACACTTAAATGCCCATTGCCCTTGCTTGGTACATTATATGATCATTTTGGAAAGATTTATATAGAATGTTTAAGTTTAGAAAATAATTCTTGCAATTTGAATGTAGATTTCTCAAATATTACTGACTTGCTTTGTGTTGTGAATTCATTACTGAATTCTAAACCTGGTTGTATATTAAGTGCAGATGATAAGAATCATCTTAGTTTATTGCTGTTAACAGCATTTTTAGATGTCATTCCATGTAATACTGCTAAAACATTAGATAATTATAATATTAAATTATTACGTCAAGAAGGATTTAATGTAAGACAATCTAAATTATATGAAGGATTACTTATTAAAAATACTCAAGAAATATATCAGCAAACTTGTTCAGTTTTGAATGCTGACTTTGGTGCATTAAAAATTGCTCTATTTACCATATCTTTAGCTGGAGATGCTGATTTTCCTGTTGAAAAACTTGAAGTTAATGATGCCATTAGTGTGTGGGAATCTATTTTAAGTCATTTAGAAAAAATTGCATCTGAACTTATCTCGGGAAAAGTAAACATTGTTGCATGCCAAAAAGTTGTGCATCCAAGGATAAGAAAAAGATTGGAAGATGCAAATATATTAGTTTTTGATAGATTGGGCAATGAAACTACAAAATATTTACAGTTTATTTCAGGTGAGTTCTTTATATTATTAATCTAGCTAATTATTTCTGTAGAACTTTTCCTTTTTCTTCCTCATTTTGCCAAAGTAACTGCATATCGTTTATTTTAAATCATAAATTTAGGTGTATGGTTGGAAGGGAAAAAATTGGAGAATATTACTTTACAGTAATAAATTCCATTCTGGCATTTCAGTTGTTGGCACCTGCAGTGCATGTTTCATCTCATGTTTAACCCTCCAGCTGACCTCCAGCTATATATAATACTTTTTTTAACATATTTAGATAAGTACATGTATCTAGAAATATGTAAATAAAATTAAAGCAGCATTTTAAAAGATTAAAGGTTGTAGGTATAAAATATAAGGGTGTATTCTAATTAAAAAAATTACCTTATCACAGTTATGAGGAATTTGAGGTTTTGGTGCCAAACCCTCTGTCGGTTGGAAAGTTAATGTGGAGGCTATACAGAAGAATGATATATAATTAGGCAAAATTCAAGCTTTGATCAGTGATGGTAATTTATAATTATATGTGCCTAGAATGGTTAGTGTATCAGCATTCACCAGCATCTAATAACAACTATTCTCTGTGAGATCATTTCCGGTTTTGCATATGTGTAAATAAGAATTGTTTTTTTGTAAGCTCAGCAACATTGGCATGTAAAGTTAGCTTGTTTAAGCATAAAAAATGCAATGTACTTCAATTTTAGATTTAATTAAGGCTTAATAAAAAGTTATTATTAATTAATATTTAACGAGTAAAATATTGTTTGCTGCTCCTCCTGTGAATTGAGTTCAATAAGAATTTTCAACATGCCTTCCATTTTCTCTGATACTGTTAATAGATTTTAATAGATTTTTGTTTTCATTTCTTTCAACCCTCTTGACTGCTCAATTTTTTTCTTATCAAATTTGCTTAAAAAATGCATATATTTTTAATTGTGTATTTCAAATATTATATATATAGTAATATATATACTATTTCAAATATATTTGAGTTTTAACATATGCACAGTTTTGTAACCAAGATGTAGCACAGTTTTGTAACCAAGATTTTTTAATATAGATTTCGTGCATTTCCGTAAATAAAACTAATAACATAGCTTGTCATTAATTTTTTTCAATTTATTTAAATTTCATTTCAAATTCAAACTGTCCAACAAAAACTGGAGTCGGAGTCGACCTGTTTTTAGCGGCTCCAGCTTCGACTCCTTTTACCCCAAAATCTGCCTGACTCTGATTCTGATTCCACAGCCCTGGAAAAATGGGACATGCTTTTTAATAGAGAGAAAAATTGCATACTCATGAAAATCACAGGAGGAACAAATTTTGTTACTTTCATATTGCAAGTTAATTTATATTTATAAGCAGGTTAATTTACTATATTTTTGCATAAGGGAAAATAGTAGTTTTTGGTCATCATCAAAATGATTTTTCATATTTAAGATTAATTTAAAGCAAACCACATCAAAATCGGATAAAAATTAAGCTTATCTTGACAAGAAATGCATGTATCATGATTTGTTGTTGATCTGAAGTTTTTACCAGTTGATAATGTAGACAAAAATCTCTTTGAGTTTGTGTAGTCTAACATTTTGCTATATTTTGTTCAATACCTGCTTGAAAAATTTTGAATTTAAAGTGATTTTTGAAGAATTAATTTCTTGACTACCTACAGTTTCTTATTTTTTAGAAAAACTGTTTTTTTACAGTTTATTGTGTTTCTCAGGTAATTAGCTTTCTTCAAACTAATTACATAAATATTTGTTAAAATTATTTTCAGTATGATTACCTGTAAATATTCTTCAATATGATTACCTGTAAATATATTAAAACACGCATTCCTTTTATTTCCCCCCCTCTTAAAAGATAAATGGTAGGAGATCGAGTCAACCAAATTCAGGTGGTAAGGAATAATCTATTGCATTTTTGATTTAGGCAACAGTGTAGAGACTTAGTATAAACATCAGTCCAGCTTTCAAACTTAAGAATCATAAATGATGACGAAACAATAGAATTTTATTAAAATTACATCACACTGAGCAGTAAATACATCTTACTCCTTCCACTTACATCTCAGAACTTAAATTCTACATTCATCTTTTAAATGCAGTTGTTTCGTGCAGTGGTTAACGAATAGCTCGCACATTTTATTTATCTTTGGCGATCCTGACACTTGATTTATACTTATGGTTTATGTTATATAGTCCATACAATGCTGAAGTAAATTACTAATTCTTTTTAGGTATCTAGATATAGATAGGGTTATCTACAGGGTGATTCTAAATTGTTTTTTCAAATTAAGAGGGGTGATAGTACTCATCCAGATGAGCAATAATTACCATAGAACATAGGGTTGCATTCCAGTTTGAGAGGCAGAAAAGAGGAATATTTGAATTCCAACCTGAATTTACAACATTGTTGGGAAAGTGAATGAACAAGACCAAAAGTTGCACAATCAGTTTAGTGAAAAACTGAGAGTGCACAAAATGGATAAAACCGAAAACTTGGCATTCGAGTGTTAATTTGATCTGATTGCAAACACTCAAATGCACACCTTTGGCTGGCAAGCTCTCAACCTCACAAATGATTGCAACAAGTTAATTATTTAAATTATTAGGGGTAAAGTATCTATTCGGGGGAAAACTGCTACCTTGATTTTTCCCCTTTCGCCATCTTCTATCCTGTCCTCCTGGACTTAACTGTGCTGCTCTCATTCTACTTGAAGCACATTTCTATGGGACACAATGTTCTGACAGCCGGAACACTGCATGAACTTTTCATGCTAATCTCAGCATACAGCGGAAGTTGAAGTTGGTTGATAATATTCAGCCCTTGATTAGATAATTAACTTGTAATCGTTTGCGAGCTTGAGGCCTTGCCAACCAAAGATGTGCATTTGCCGTCATAGTCTGAGCTCGAATTAAAACTCAAACGCCAAGTTTTCTGTTTTATCCGCTTTGTGCGTTCTCTGCGAGTTTCACACTAAACTGATTGACTAACTTTTGGTTTCGTTCATTCGCTCTCCCAACACTGTTGTAAGTTCAGTTGGAATTCTAGTATTTCTCTTTTCTGCCTCTCAGAGTGGAATGCGACCCTATGTTTTATGGTAATTATTGCTCATGGATGAGTACTATCAACCCTCTTAATCTATAAAAGCAATTTAGAATCATTCTGTATACGAGGGCTATCCAGAAAGTAGATTACGTTTTGGAATAAAAAAATAAACAAAGTATAGGAAACAAATTTTATTATATACAGATGAAAGCCACACTCAAATACTACTTTTCTACATAGTCACCATACAAATTAAGGCATTTATCGTAGCGATGTACGAGCTTGGAAATTCCTTCGTCGAAAAATTCGGCCGCCTGCGCCTTCAACCACTTCGTTACCTCTTCTTGCAGCTGTGCGTCGTCATCAAAACGCTGCATAGCCAGCCACTTCTTCATTGCTGGGAATAGGTGGAAGTCGCTCGGTGCCAGGTCGGGACTGTACGGCGGATGAGGAAACAACTCCCACTTAAAAGATTCAAGAACTTTACAAGTGACATTTGCCGTGTGGGGCCGGGCGTTGTTGTGAATCAACAAGATCTTAGAGCTCAACATTCCTCTGCGCTTGTTTTGAATTGCTCTTCTGAGTTTTTGGAGAGTTTGGCAATACCTTTGAGAGTTTATTGTAGTGCCTCTTTCCAGGAAGTCCACCAAAATTACACCTTTTCTGTCCCAAAAAACAGTCGCCATCATCTTCCTTGCCGACATTGTTTGCATGCATTTCTTGGGTTTTTGGGGAGAACTTGTGTGCCCCCACTGCATTGATTGCAATTTCGTTTCACAGTTCACATGTTTCACCCATGTTTCGTCACCAGTAACGATGCGATCGAGTAAAGAGTCACCATCCTTTATGGTAAGCGTCCAAAAGTTCAACGCTGCAGCCATTCGCTGATTTTTGTGGTCCTCTGTCAAGATTTTTGGAATCCATCTTGCACAAAACTTGTGGTAACCAAGCTTTTCGCTGATGATTTCGTGCAACAAACTTCGCGAAATTTGTGGAAAACTCAAAGAAAGTTCCGTTATTGTGAAATTTCGATTTTCACGGACTTTAGCATCGACTTTTTCGAGAAGTTCGGCGGTCACTATGCTGGGTCTCCCACTTCGATCTTCGTCGTGAACATTGGTTCGGCCATTTTGAAATCTTATGACCCACTGACGCACTCCACCTTCAGTGATAATGTTGTCCCCATACACTTCACGAAGCTGCCGATAGATTTCTATCGGTTTACAGTTTTTTGCAGTCAGAAACCTTATTACTGAGCGCAGCTCGCGGGATTTTCAATTAACGCAGACATTTCAAACCGTCACAGTATCTGAACGGAGCACAGCACGAACCTCTCACTAGCATGGCTAGATGCAGACTGAGCTGCGCAACGCTCTGACCCCAAGATGGCCGCGCTAGCCCCGCCCCTAGCGGACACAGACGGAAACGTAATCTACTTCCTGGATGGCCCTCGTATTAACCTTCATTGACATAATTTATTTCATTAACTATTGTTAATTAATTGGTTTATTAACTATTATTAATTAATTTTATAAACTATTTTTAATGTTATTACACATTGATTTCATTAACTTCACTTTCATTGACATATGCATTATCATCCAGATTAATGAGAACAAGATAACACAGTCAATACTTTAATAAAGAGGTAACTGCTTTTGTGAGGCTCGTGTTCCTGTTATTTTTTTTTCTTCCTCATTTTGGCTTCATCAAACCTAATTCAAGATCACAATCCGCAAAATCTAACTCCAAATTATCATCATTAACATTACATTCATCGAAATTTGAATAATGATCATTGTAATCAACAATAATGTTGCTGTTGACATAATCAGAATGTAAATCAAGATCGTTTTAACCACTGAAATGTAAGTGATCACTTTTAGCCTCCTCCTCCTCCTCATTTAATATCTTCATCAACACCTAAACCAAGATTATAGTCATTAACATCAGTGT